TTGTTTGTTTGTTTGTTTGTTTGTTTGTTTGTTTGTTTGTTTGTTTGTTTGTTTGTTCTTCTTTGTTTTGCTGCTGTGCTGCTTCTGCTTCTGCTGCTGCTGCTGCTGCTTCTGTTGCTGCTGCTACGTTGCTGCTATGTTGCTTCTGCTTCTGTTGCTTTGCTGCTTCTGTAACTGCTTCTGCTACAACAACAACAACTACTACTACTACTACTAATATTGCTGCTGCTTCTGCTCTTGCTGCTGCTGCTGCTGCATGCAGGTTGTGTCTGAAGAGAATGAGCATATGGTTGGTGTCTTAGAGTTATATGAGTATTTAAAGACTGCTCCTTTCGTCGGGCCTTTCGGCACTGTAGAGAACCCCGTACTCGTACCCTCTGTGCACACAGAAAGGTATTTCATTTGCTGCAGGATAGTAGGTTGTACAGGCGGGACAGGAGAGAATGAGCATTACCCTCTGTGGTTTAGGTGCAGAGAGGGTTTTCTTTATCGCTGCGGAGAGTGCGACCAAGTGTTTATGCATGTGAGGGTTTTATACTCTCTTCCAGACGGCAAAGACCCCTTTCCTATAGACCCAGATGTAAGAACTCACACAATTAGGGTTTAGGGTTTAGGGTTTAGGGTTAGGGTTTAGGGTTTAGGTTTTAGGGTTTAGGGTTAGGGTTTAGGGTTTAGGGTTTAGGTTTTAGGGTTAGGGCTTCGGGCTTCGGGTTTAGGGTTTGGGGTTTAGGGTTTAGGGTTTAGGGTTTAGGGTTTAGGGTTTAGGGTTTAGGGTTTAGGGTTTAGGGTTTATGCGGGTTTTTTTCCTTATCTTTATATCCACTTCATATAATTTGTTCGCCTCACGCGCATTAAATAAATAAATAAGTAAATAAACCGATGAGTTAATTAATTTTATTTATTTATTTATTTATTTATTTATTTATTTATTAGGTGAAGGACGTCTTCGGGATCGAGGCACTGGAGAGCGCAGAGAGACAATGGAATGCAGGCGAATATATCTGTTGGCCGGCGGGCCATGAGGCTTACTCTCGCTTATTCTTGCAGGGTTTGTTTGTCTCCTTTTGCTTTTTTGCTGTCTCCTTTTGTTGTTTTACTGTCTTTTGTTGTTTTGCTGTCTCCTTTTGCTTTTTTACTGTCTCCTTTTGTTGTTTTACTGTGTCCTTTTGCTTTTTTGCTGTCTCCTTTTGTTGTTTTACTGTCTCCTTTGAGGGTTTGTTTGTCTCCTTTTGCTGTTTTACTGTCTCCTTTTGCTGTTTTACTGTCTCCTTTTGCTGTTTTGTCTGTCTCCTTTTATCTGTTTGTTTGTCTTTATTTGATGTTTTTATATGTTTGTCTGTCTCCTCCTGCTGTTTTACTGTCTCCTTTGAGGGTTTGTTTGTCTCCTTTTGTTGTTTTACTGTCTCCTTTTATATGTGTGTTTGTCTCCTTTCAGTTCTTTGTCTGCTTTTCGTTTGTTTGTTTGTTTGTCTGCTTTTACTTCTTTATTTATTTGTAATTATATATCTCCTTTTGTCTGTTTGTTTGTCTCCTTGCATTTATTTGTCTCCTTTTGTCTGTTTATTTGTTTATCTTTTTGTCTCTCTTCTTATCGACCGGGAAGATATATATATATATGTATATTTATTTATTTATTTATATTTATATTTATATATTTATTTATTTATTTTTATGTTTATTTGCTGTCTCCTTTTGTCTCCTTTGTGCGTTCTTAACTGTAAACCCTAAACCCTAATAATCTATCTGCTCTCACCTCTTATGCATTTTTATGTCCTGCTGTCTACACAGTCAAATCCATTAGAGTTTAGGGTTTAGGGTTTAGGGTTTAGGGTTTGGGGCTGCATGCGCTTCAGGAGCACTCGGCAACAAGGTGCCTGAGAAGTTAGCGGAAGACTTGAAAGCCATTGAGTAAACCCTAAACCCTCGGATTAGGGTTTAGGGTTTATGCGTTCTACTACGTCCTAGACCCTAGGTTTAGGGTTTATGCGTTCTACTACATCCTAGACCCTAGGTTTAGGGTTTAGGGTTTGTACCTGTGCAGCAGAAACCCTCGAGAGAAGGTTTATGATATTTAAACCTTAAAACCCTAAACAATAATGTGCTGTTTCTGCTCGTCTCACTCCTCAAGGGTTTAGGGTTTAGGGTTTAGGGTTTAGCTGAGGAGACAAAAGAAGACAACGAATTCAATAGGACTAGACTAACGAGCGCATCTCGCTTAGGGTTTAGGGTTTAGGGTTTAGGGTAAAAGAAGAATGTATTTATTATTCTTACACCACTGAATATTATATAAATGTAAACATAAAGTTATTGCATGCGTCTGCATGTAGCAGAGGTGTATGTACACCTCAAGTAGGCATATATTGAATAAAAGCCCCGCAATAGGGAGAGACAATAAACAATATGCAAACAGCAGCAGCTTCTGCTTCTTACGCAAATACAGCACTCAATCAGTGCATGCATGCATGCATGCATGCATGCATGCATCCATGCATGCATGTACTGAGAAAGCCCCAATATATTTGCATGCATATTTCTGTGTGTACGCATTTAATAAAAACGCAGAAATACAGACCCGCACTCATCTACCTCACTGCATGCATATCCATACATGCATGCATGCATGTATGCACCCATATGCAAGCATGCATGCATTAATATGCATGCATGCATGCATTAATATGCATGCATGCATGCATATTAATGCATGCAAAGGTGTGGTAGGATGTGCGTTGGTTTCCATACAGCAGACGCACATTACTGATGATATTCTTATAAATAAGCATTTAATATATATATATATATATATATATTAGAGTATATATAGTAGATGTAATACTTGTACATATATATATATATATGCATTAAGATATACATACATATATATATATATATATTATATAATAGAGAGAAGAAGCTGCATTTGTTTTGCATGCACTGCGATTTGTCTGCATGCATTTTACACAAAATAACCACGGGGCTGTACGCGCATGCATGCGCTTGCATGCATGCATATATATATATATATATATATATATATATATTTCAAGCAACGAGAAAATAAGATATGCATTTATGCATGCATGCAAATGCATGCAAGTGGTGTACATGAGTAGATATAATAAACAAAGTATAGATGCAGATAAAGAGATAAATAAATTGTTAAATAAAGATATAGATAAACAGGATAAGGCTTAAATATCTGCATATATACAAACATTGATAGAGGTGTATGTATATACATATATATATATATATGCATATAAGCATTTATACGTATATATGTATATATATATATATATATACACATACATATAAATGCATATGCATATATATATATATATGCATAAAAGAGAACAACAGCAGCAGAGCAGAGCTGTCTGCTGCTGTTTGTCTCTTCTCTCTTTTTTTATTGTCTCTTCGTTCTTCTGTCTCTTCTTTTTGTTTGCATCTTCATTTATCTGTCTCCTTTAGCGGCTGTCTCTCTTTGTCTCTCTTTGCTTCTTCATTTATCTGTCTCCTTTATCCCTCATCTGTCTCTTTGTTTTATCTGTCTCTTTCTTTGCTTTTATCTGTCTCTTTACTTTTATCTGTCTCTATCTTTATCTTTATCTTTATCTTTATTTATATCCTTCTTTATCTTTATCTGTCTCCTTCTTTATATTAATCTGTCTCTATCTTAATAAACCTCATTCTTTATCTGTTTGTTTTTATTTTATCAATATCTTTATCTTAATCTTTATCTTTATCTTTATCTTTATCTTTATCTTTATCTTTATCTTTATCTTTATCTTTATCTGTCTCTTTGTTTATTTTCATGCATATCTCTGTCTTAAAATGCGTTTAAATATATAATATTACTCTGCTGCTGCTTAAACTAACGCTTAAAATACGTTAAATATATTATATTACTCTGCTGCTGCTTCAACTAATGCGTCTTGCAGCAGTTTGCTTCCTGACACCATAAACAAAGTCTGCCATACACCCAAACCAATGCGAGGGACGATCCCTCGCAGCAGAGCCCCTGCACCTTCACGCACTCCTATTTGCTTCATCACCTGCAGCAGCAGCAGCAGCAGAAGAAGAAGAAGAAGCAGAAGTAGAAGCAGCAGCAGAAACAGTAGGAGAACAGTAGGAGCAGGAGCAGCAAAAGCAGCAGCAGCAGAAATATCACAGTAGTAGCAGCAGCAGTACGAGCAGCAAAAATAGCAATAGGAGCAGCAGCAGTTGCTGCAGCAGCAGCAGGAGCACAGCAGCAGTAGGAGCAGCAGCGGAGTAGCAGCAGCAGCACAGTAGCAGTAGAAGAAGCAGCAGCAGCAATAACAGTAGCAGCAGCAGCAGCTGGCCACCACCGCAAGCTGCAGCGCCAGCAGCAACAGCAGCAGCAGCAACAGCAGCAGCAGCAGCAGCAGCAACAGCAACAGCAGCAGCAGCAGCAGCAAATCACCTGGATAATGTTTTGTTTGGGTCTGCCTTCTGCTGCTGCGCTTTGCATTTCAATGCGCGCGACCTCAAATGGCTGATTCCACGTAGACAAAACCCCGCCCTGCAAACCCCAAACCCTAAACCCTAAACCCTAAACCCTAAACCCTAAACCCTTAGGCCTGAATCTTTGGTGCAGTTTGTCTGACTGGGAAGCCACAGGCAGAATGCTGCAGCAGTTAAGTGCTGCAGCAGCAACAGCAGCAAGATAACCAGTTGCAGAAGCAGCAGCAGAAGCAGCAGCAGCAGCAGCAGCAGCCCTACAATGCATCCACTGAGCAGCTCTTCCGTGACGCTTAGTTTCACCACCCCCGGTTGCTGCTGGACCTGCTGCTGCTGCTGCTGCAGCTGCTGCAGCTGCTGCTGCTGCTGCTGCTGCTGCTGCTGCTTTTGCTGCAGTTTTTCTTTCTTTCTGTTTAGAAAAGAATCTCTCGCCATCTCTGTGAAGCCCTGACGCGACGCCCAGTTAGTCATTTGTCTTAGGGCAATTGCAGAGCCCCCCGGATACAAACCCTGCACAG